GACTTGCACAAATATGCTGACATCTCCATTCTTACAACGAGTTTCTAAGTTCTCCCGTCCTTCCAACAGAGTTTGTTCTTCTGAGGTAATCTGGGAATATGTTCAGTGCTGCGAATACATTGCAAAAACATTTCCTGCTTTTTCAAATTTATCATTATTAGTGAAAACAGTTTAATATAGACTTCTCTAAAACTGTGAATACTTCATTTTAATTTTATTTAGGTAAGATTATTATTTTATTTAACAAACCAACACAATCTCACGGCAACTCGCGTTTTGGCGCTGTTGTCAGCAAGCATCAGTGTTTACTGAGATTGAAATTAGGTTAAAAAATAATTGAAATTGAGGTAGGAAATATTGTTATAGCAACACTTGTGACTCCTATGGGAAAATAACTCTCGTCATAGATGTCACGGGATGACTGATCATAAAGAAAAGTGTAGTCTGGCACATTTGTTACCAGGGTTTTACATTAACACCCACCAACCCGCTAAATGCGGGCAGATTTTAGCTGTGGTGGGTTAGACAGCCGCCTCCACTAGCCACTTTGGCTACTTGAAAATTATTTTTAAATTGTAATTTTCTTAAAAGCAGGGTTCGACAATAGGGATGCCCTAATATTTGTGCAAATGCGATCTTAGAATTAAGAAGCAGCAAGACTGACAAATATAATTTTGTTCGTGCAGGCAAAAGAAAGCCGGTTAAATACCGAATCAGAGGATATTCACTTGCGCCAACAGCTGATGTGATGCGACGCGGTTGTTGTGACTGTGACTGTTTAAAACACGTGCGCGGTCCCGTTTTCTTTGCATGAAACAACCGTGCCTGGAAACGCAATTGGTGTGATCGGTTCTCTTTCAAATAGACTAGACAAAAAGTTATGTTCATGCATATGCATAGGATATTAACTACCCATTTATGTTTAGTTAACTGTCCCAACTGTTTTTTTAAAGAAATCTTTTGTTAAATATATACACATTATTTAAAATTTGTGGCTAAGAAATAATTATTTAATTATTTATTTTTAGTGTGGTTTGAGATAAATTTGTTATATGCTTTGAGCTCTGAAAAGTCATGTGAAATGAGAAAAACTAATCAGAATACAACACTGAGACCATGAACCATGTGCTCATGCTCACTGAGCAAGCTCATACACATCATACACAAAAAGTAAAATGAATGAGGAGGCATGTGGCGTTCCACAAAATCTAAATCAAGTAATTTTAGCATGTCAAGGTCATATTTATGCATATTAAATATATTTTCCCAACAACAAAATTGTGGCTAGTGAAAATGGCAAGTGGCTATTAATGTTGGAAAATTACTTGCCACACTGGCTGGTGACCAAAATAATTAATGTCAAGCCCTGTTTGTTACCCATGACAAGTCAAGATTTTACCAAGACAAAAACCACATAATCTGACATAGTGACTTTCGGAACCGACAATAATAATCGTGTGATCTTACCAGAGCTTAAGTATTTGTATTCTGGCACTAAAGAGCATGTATCGTGTGTTCTAATGGAAATATGCTGAAAAAGTAAAACTTAAGGACTTCTTAAAAAGTACAGAATCAATTTTTTATTCAACACAAGCTGGAACGTAAACACCTCAAAGCAGGGTACCTCTCAAGCACGACTAAACACAGAACACATTGTGCTCTGGGCGTGTATTAGTGCATCGCACAGACTCATATCCCAAATAAACCCAGAGAGGCACTCAACAATAATACCAGCACATATTCTAGACAACAGGACGGCAAATTGTTGTGCAGACCTATTACGATGCAACAATGCCTTGGACGGGCATCAGAGAAATGCAGCCGAAAAAGCAATCACAAAACAACTCACTCTCGCAGCTCTTCATCAATAATGACAGACGACTGACAAAGCGTCAGACGGGCCAGATCTCTGGTGTGATGTCATCTGATTCAAAGCTGATTTATGCCGAGTATCAGAGGCGTTCGTGCTCAAATGAATGAGGGCAATCAGATCGCTCGGCACTCCTGCGATTAAATGAGGAGAAGCAGGCCACATCTCTATTGTTCTGCTCTCTCCAAGTCGTTTTTCACGTTTAAAGAACGTCCTGTGCTGTGTTGTTTCTTTTAAGACATGATTCACGTAGGAAAAACTCTTCAAAATAATTGCCACTGGTAATGCTCTTTTTTTAGGCAATACAACTGAGGAAAATTCTAAAATAGCTATGATAAACTTGAATAGTAACATTGGAATTCAGCTGCATCTTTTATCTTCTCGACGATGTTCAAAAAAATGTCATGTCAACCTCTGGTTCAGTTGTCAGCAAACAGCATCTGGAAGAGTCTATTATTAAATAATCTTTCTACATTATATATATAAATACAAAGAGTGTTTACTTTCATAGTCGACATGAAAAGGCCATTTGATTCACATTTAATTCTGGCATGTGACGCATATATAAGTGCAGCCATCTGGAAATGATTTGATCGTTTGTTTCAAAGCATAGGTGGTGTTAATATAGACATTCAATAACTTATTCACTGTTATTCAGTTATAATTAGAAAACATTATTAAATTATTATTAAAATGAAATTATGTGTGTATGAGCATAACTGGATCTGAGCATGTAGAATGAAGAAACATGAATACAGCATTATTATTAATATGATCATATTGATTATTATTAACATTAATTATTTAAATTAACCCTCATGAATTAATGTTTGATTTTACTTTTAAAATGTAAAACATTAAACTTAAATAGGTTTTCACATGAAGTCATTGATGACGCGTGGAATTTAGATGGAAGAGATTCTTCTACATAGGAATCGCTATCAGAACATTAAAATGTAAACCTCATGTGTTTGTATTCTGTTGTATATTGCTTTTCTGCCATGTGATGGCTCAGTATGTGTGTTTATATACATTAAACACAATGTTCAACATTTCATCTGTGAAGTTTCTTTGGTAAAATACAGCACACAGAAAAGCCTATGAGTTGAAAAAGATTAAGGTTCAAAAATATTTATTTTTTATTTTTATTTTAAATGTTATGTCACATCAAATGTCTGTAGCTTGAACTTGTTTCATCAATTTGCTGTTCTACAAAGTTACACAAGTATTAGTACATGGTAACGAACTATAAGCAACTGATCTGTAAAGTGTCAGTTAATATGTTAGTTAAGTGTTAGTTATTAGTTTAAGTATGTTATAGGGACGCTAATTTAAAGTACCACTATTCCTCATTTACTAAGTTAATAAATGAAGAATAGTTGCAACTTTAGAATAACGTCCCAAAAGCATATATAAACTAAAACTGACACTTAACTAGTCTTTAGTAAGTAATTTACTAACAGCTTGTTCATGATCTATTAATACAGTTAACAAGTCATTTATAACTTGTTAACTAACAGCTTAAAATTTATCTATTGGCTATCTATAAGACACAATAATAAGTAATTAACAAACTATTAACTTTTATTTAACAAGTCGTTTACTACTCAATAACTAACAATTTATTAATGGACTACTAACTAGTTATAACGGATAGTTATTGTAAAGTGTTACCGAAATGCCAAACAGCTTTTATAGACTTCTGAAAGTTTTATAGACTTCTGAAAGGGAAGATAAAGGTGGCATGTAATAAACATTTATTCAATTTATACACATACATGTGTACAAACTTTTTTTGACAGCACCAATTAAGATTATATACAGGCCTAACTATGTGTATAAATATGTTAATGTGTTTTATAAAAATAAGATACAAGCACCACCACACTTATGCAATATCCAGGAGAATATAAATAACTTATCCTGCCATGTACGTTTTGGTAAAATAAACAACCGTAACAATACCGTCTATATGCGCAGCAGTGGTGAATGTTTGTGGATGGTAAGTTCATCGACATAACAAAAAGAAAATTGCAATCCTTGTGACAAAACTAGACGGTTATTATTGTGGAGCACTCTTTCCTTCTTACAAAAATAAATAAACAAAAAATATCATAGACTGTGTCCATGCTTCTGTATACAGTATATTCATCTGTTATTTGGTGATGTCTGGAAGATATCCGCAGAATACTGTAGCATAGTAAACTGATAAACTGTAATAAATACTGTAACGTTAGAGTAAACTGTGGTGCATTGTGATGGTGTATAACTATAGAAACAGAAGCCTATTGAATCATTGTTTATTATTACTACAGTTGTGTTGTATCACAGCAACAATATAATTACTACAACAATTTAATTCATGTATCTACAGTATGCTTAAAACACACATATTTTTCTTGAAACGTAATAGCGTATACAATATATGCCACCTCTATGACAAATATATTTGTGTTCAGTAGAAAACTCAGCCCTCTTTATGATATATGGATCATGCCCAACATATGTGTTTATTTTCTATTTATAACTCCTTTGAAATACGAAAAACCTCCTGAATTATTGGTTTATTTTTTCCCCAATTTCTGTTTAACAAGGGATTTTTTTTTACATATTTCTAAACATAATGGTTTTAATACCTCATTTCAAATAACTGATTTGTTTTATCCTTGCCTTGATGACAGTAATATAATATTTGACTACATATTTTTCAAGACACTTCTATACAGCTTAAAGTGACATTTAAAGGCTTAACTAGGTTAATTAGGTTGACTAGGCAGGTTGGGGTAATTGGGCAAGTGATTGTATAATGATGGTTTGTTCTGTAGACAATCGAAAAAATATATAGCTTAAAGAGCTAATAATTATGACCTTAAAATGGTGTTTAAAAAATTAAAAACTGCTTTTACTCTAGCCAAAATAAAAATAAAAAAAACTTTTTCCAGAAGAAAAAATATTATCAGACATACTGTAAAAATTTCCTTGCTCTGTTAATCATCATTTGGAAAAATTTTTTAAAAAATCTAAGGGGAGCTAATAATTCTTACATTAACTGTATATTCTTTATTTTTCAATGATTTGTGCTGATAAATCATGCATAATACGCGATGAGTTATAAAAGCAGTGGTCTTACCTTGGCCTTGCCTGTGCTTTGTAAGATATGCACAAGTGCACACGCCATCTCCTCCTTGTTCTTCACACTGAGCGCCGGCTCCAGCACTGAGCACATTAGCATATAGTTATTAGTAATATACTCTGCAAACTCCTTGTAAAGCTCCATGGGGAGGATGCTCATGCTCTGATAGCGGGACTTCATGCGGACCATGGGTCCCGGACTCTTCCCTTTGTTAGGATTCGGCGTACTAACCGAATACCATTTTTCCACAAATTGCCGCCCGGTGACTGTCGCAATGGGAATATTGACCAGGCCCACATAATTATTTTTGTCCTTCTTTTTCTTTTTGTCCGTTTCCTTGTAAAGATGAACGGTGATGCTCTTGACCGAGGGCAGGTTGTTGAACTCAAAGTGTTCGCCCCAGAAAACGTTGTCCGTTTTGAGTTTGCAGGTAGTCCGTGCGTATAATGTGTCGTCCAGACAGAGTTCACAGAAGTATTTTTTCTTTGCTGGCAAGTCCTTGGCTTCGATAATCCAACATTTCAGCATATTTTCCACCCGACGGGTGTTATCCTGCAGAAAATATAAACACAGTTCATGTTTTTTTTTTCTCTCAAAGTAAGTGTTGACTTGACTTGCATGTAATGAAATCTTTTCAAATTTTCTACTGAAGAAAAAAGTCACCTACATCTTCGAAGGCCTGAAATCTGCAGCAATGTTTCATTTTTGGGAATTCTATACCTTTAATGCGCATCTTTTAATTTGCCTTTAAAGCAGGGGTGCCCAAACTCAGTCCTGAAGGGCTGGTGTCCAGCAGAGTTTAACTCCAACCCCAATTACACTAGATATACAGTACCAGGACCAGCTAATCAAAGCTCTTACTAATCATACTAGAAACTTCTGGTAGGTGTGTAGAAGCTTAACTCTGCAGGACACTGACTCCTACCAAGTTTGGGCACCCTGGCTTTAAAGTGATAGCTTACTTCTTCATTTTTTGAGTGCGTGTGACGAATAACCGTAAAAGTCCAATAAATAAATAAATAAATAAATAAATAAATAAATAAATGACCATGATAGAACAACCAGATAACCATGTGACAATAATTGTATGTGTGAACAGAAACAGTTTGGGGATATTAATATTAATATTAATATTGGAGATTATAAAATCTGTCGATATGTGAGGTGGGATACATGAGCAAAAGCAACACGCTGACTGGCTTAAACCTTATCCCTTTCTCAAATTACCCATGATTCAGATGAATCATCCAGTTTACCTTATTGGGATGCACAGCACGTCTCAAATTCTCCATCCATTTGTCTCTCTCGGCTGCCGACCGGCATGAGAAGCATTTGCTTCCTGTTGAAGTAGTTACCTGCAATTACAGATTACAATTATCAGATTTGCAGATAAGTGCATTAAGGATGCTGGAAAGGATGTGGAGACGGTGGACGTGAACACAGATGAAACCAGCGCTTAGTAAACAATCTGTTACCCAGGAGTGAAGAACAATTACATTTTGGGAAAGAGTGAAAGTGTCAAATTGCCTGATCAGACAGAACGCACTTAAATCAAATGCAGGATCACATGATATATCCGAGAGTAGAGACACAAGAGGAGGCCTTGCAAATATTCCTTTCATATCCGAAATTCATCCTGAAAAGACCCTCTGTTCATAGTCACACCGTCCAGGTGACAACAAAAGTACTGGTGCATATTTGAATACTGAGGGGTAAATTCACTACAGCTAATCAAGTTTTACCAGCTGTTGACTGATGTAGTACTGCTCAACATGAACTTCATTTGTATTTGTATTTTAATGATATGCATAAATAATAAATCCCAAAATGTACATCATAATATACATTTTACAATAAGGCTGAATTAGTTATTGCTTGCGGTATTTATTCAACCTTGTTAATGTTAGTTAGCATTTTAATTTAATTAAATAATAATTAAACTAATCAAATGTATATGCACAAATATATTATTATATACCATCCTGTTAATTTAAGAGAGACCTGTGCACTTTATACACTCGCGGGCCACTTTATAAGATAGACCAGTCCAACTGCTCGTTAACGCAAATTTCTAATCAGCCAATTACATGGCAGCAACTCAATGCATTTAGGCATGTAGACATGATCAAGACGATCTGCTGGAGTTCAAACTGAGCATCAGAAGGGAGAAGAAATGTGACTTTAAACATGGCATGGTTGTTGGTGCCAGACGGGCTGGTCTAAGTACTTCAGAAAATGCTCATCTACTGAGATTTTCACAAACAACCATCTCTATAGTTTACAGAGAATGGTCATAAAAAGAGAAAATATCCAGTGAGCAACAGTGCTGTGGGTGCAATTGCCTTATTGATGCCAGAGGTCAGAAGAGAATGGCCAGACTGGTTCCAGCTGATGGAAAGGCAACAGTAACTCAAATAACCACTCGTTACAACTGAGGTATGCAGAAGAGCATCTCTGAACACACAACATGTCAAACCTTGAGGCGGATGGGCTACAGCAGCAGTAGACTACATTAAGTGCCACTCCTGTCAGTTAAAAACAGGAAACTGAGGCTACAATTCAAACAGGCTCAACAAAATTGGACAATAGAAAATTAGAAAAACGTTGCCTAGTCTAATGAGTCTCGATATCTGCTGCGACATTCAGATGTTGGAGTCAGATTTTGAAACATTAAAGCATGCATCCATCCTGTCTTGTATCAGTTTAGGCTGGTCGTGGTTGTGTAATGGTGTGGGGAATATTTTTATTTTTTAAGGCAGTTCTGAAGGTAAAAGGGGTCAAACCTGGTACTAGTAAGGTGTATCTAATAAAGTGACTGGTTTGTGTGTTTGTGTGTGTGTGTGTATGTGTGTGTGGCAGTATGCTTGGGGTCATGGTCCATTTGGAAGACCCATTTGTGGCCAAATTTGAATTTTCTGGCTGATGTCTTAAGATGTTGCTTCAGTATTTCTACATTATGTTCTTTCTTCATGATGCCATCTATGCTGTGAAGTGGACCAGTCCCTCCTGCAGCAAAAGAGCCCCACAACATGCCGCCCCCATACTTCACAATTGGGATGGTGTTCCTAGGCTTGTAAGCTTTCCCCTATGTCCTTCAAATGTAATACTGGTCATTATAGCCAAACAGTTCAATCGTAGTTCCATCAGACCACAGAACATGTCTCCAAATTTTTTTTTTTTTGTTTTCCCCGTGTAATTGATCAAATCTGGCTTTTTTTTTGTTAATTCTGGCTTGTTGATTTTGCCATGTTGTCACACAAGAAAGCCGTGTGTTTGAGGTTTTCCTTAAATACTATTCTACAGTTGTGCCTCCAATTAACTCAAATATTGTCAATTAGCCAATCAGAAACTTCCAAAACCATCTGAGCTTATTCAGATGCATACTAATCTTATTTTATGTAAACTTGACTTTCAAGAAAAGTATCTCTAAAATATCTCTCTCATTATTCTGCTATTGAACTGAAACACATTTGATAATCCTAACTTACCTAAAAGAGAAAAAGTTTAGTCACATTAACATCTGACTGTTTTTAAAATGGTTATGTGACTTTTTATACAGTGTATGTAAACTTCTGCATTCAACTGTATATATAGATATAATACATAGAAACTTTTACTAGTTACTTTTATTTATATTTTTATCTGTATATTCTGAGGGGAATAACTAAGGCAAATTGCATATAAATGCCTGATTGTAGTTTTCATAGTCTGCACCCTCTGACCTTGTGACCACATAAGCATCTGGTTTAAGTGAGCCTTCCCTGCAGCGCACGTGAAAATCATCCAGTAACGCGACCCCGTGGCCCCTCAATGATTTAACTGCGGAGCGGCAAGAGCGCAGCTATTTTCTGCTAACTATTTGATCTCGCCTAATGGTCATGATGAAGTTTTAATGGGCCTTAGCCGAGTGCTATTTTGAGACTCGTCGGACATTAATAGTCCTTATTTGCAATTAAGGCGAGACACTGCAGGTGAATAGGCTAAAAAACCTTATTAGTTCTAACCATACTTCATCAGTTGATTGATATTTACAATATTTAGAATAGCAAACATTTTTTGTATTACAAGTTTTTTTAATTGTTGTTTAAATATGCAAGCAAGGCCCTTTTTCATGAAATATGCATACATTTGCACACATTTTCAGGACAAAAGTCTGAACATTGGATGAAGTCAGGTTCAAAATTCTCATTTCATTGACATATTTAATTAAAATGTTTAACAGTGGGATTTTTTTTATTACTCCATAATTCAGAAAATACTGCATTCAGCAAGAAAAAACTATTTTAGACTTAAATATTGTATATAATCAGGCATATTATTTAGGAACATTTCCCTCTGTAAAAATCTTCAGAATAAAGGTATGAATAAAAATATTTAGTTATATATTTTAAGAGTTGCTGAAGTGGAGATTTATCTCTCAATGTTTCTCAGAGAAAAATGTCTTTAAAAACATGCATTGTAATTGAAATCTACATATAAAAATTGATAAAGTGCAACAAAAGAATCACTTAAAAATGTATTTTTTTATGTTTCCTTCGCTGTAGAATGAAAACAACAACACTTTAATAAAAAGCCCCTATTATGGGTTTTTGAAAATGACCTTCTATGCAGCAGGGCTCGAAATTAACCTTTTTTCTTGGTCGTCCTAACTTCAAAAATGTAGGCGCACACACCAAAGATTATGAGCACCGTTACTACATGTTTTATATTAACAGATTCTATTCTATTTTAACACTCTAATCACCACTAACAAATAAACAAAAATGTGCATGCGCTCCCGGCATTGTACGCACTGCTTGACGTGAATTCGATGAAATTAACTTACAATAATAACTGTGCTGTTCTGGGTGGTGTCTGATATTGCACAGATGATATTGACTTATAACTTATTATTTGCATACGTCATCTTAATAGCAATAACGGTCTTTTCATGAGCTGCAATATTAGTTTCATCTTAGTAAATGCATGCTCTTTAGCGATGGTGAACGCGGTGTCAGTCACACGACTGACAGCATTGTGACGATTAAATAACGTTACAACATCTCGTGCTTCAAATGTGTAGATTCAGTGGCAAACACTGTTACCTGAAAACTCTGTCATACCAGCTTTACGGTAGTCATTTTCATAGCGGACTTTAAACACTGTAAGTCTTTTATCCACTCTTCGAAAAGTGTAAATGCTGGATTGACATTCATTACATGATCACTAATCAGATGTGCCATCACTTGTAACTTAAGATGGTTTCTAAAACTAAATCTCCCAGTTTTGTTTTCATTCTCTCATGTCCAGACCTCTACATTTTCACAGTTGTAGCTCCCTGTCTTCTGAACTGAGTGATTGACAGCTGATATTAACCAATCCATTCGCTTTCTGTTCTAGCACAGTGGGCCAATAAGAAGAGCTTGAAGGTGGGGCAAGCATTGCAGGCTTTGTTTACTGCAGCAAGTTGACATGTCAACTGTTTTAAACCAATCCTGATCGCTGCGTTTGGTTTTTAGATGCTTAATGTGTGAATGCCTCCTAATTCCATGCATGTGGTGAACATTTTGCTGTGAAAACTGACATAAATGTTATGCACTTGCACAAATGCTCTCTAATATATTTTGAGGTCACATAAATGAAATTTCGGGCGCATTTTCGAAATTGCGACCAAAACGGTTGCAATTTCGAGCCCTGTGCAGTGTGTAACACAGCACTAAGTGAATGAAAACATTCAGCTAAGGTTTAAATCTGAAAGAGCACCGTGTTTAAAACTGTTGATATTTAAACAAAACAGTCGACTCAAAGTCAAATAAATAAATCGTGTTGGGTTTGAATCTTTTGCTTGAATGCATCATTGTCGACAAGGTGCATCACCAAATACAGTATGTAGTACCGATTTCGGTAAAATGTGAACCTGCCTTTCAATTTAGACACTAGCGGAGCATGAGGGATCACAGAATTGATTATGACGCAAAGATGGTGATCACTGACAGATGGAGATATGTCTGTGGGGAATGAAGGGTTAAAGTTCATTTTCACAGCAATTCCACAGTATAGTCAACCTAGTGCTGTGTTGGTTCCTATCATTTTTCTGAAGATTAATACAATAACCTACGCTGCAATGAGATACTCGTTGGCCGTTTGCTATTAAAGGAGAGGCAGACACTATTATGTATGGGACTTTGTCAGACAGAAACTGTTACAGTTCAAATGGACCAGTTTCTTCTTCCTCTGGATCATAACATGTAAGTGTAATTAAATTGTTGCCTTGTTTTGTGTATTTTGCTTTTTAAATCACATATCTTTTACAGATTTTTACAGATATCGGTTTGGGGGTATTCATATATTTCATCCAAACCACGTTGAAAACATGACGCATGCTTCTTCCTTTACCAATTTAAATGTGTTTCTGAACTCTGGATCCTCTGCCGTATTCATTATATATATACAATTTAAATATTTCAACTTCTGACACTGTGTGGATCAATAGTGAACGTGTCGTTGTTATTACGTGGGGTTAGCGTTAAGAGTAGAGTAAAATGCTGGTGTTTAACTGCATTGCTTACTTTCTGCTACTTTATGGCCGTGGTGGGCATTTCTTTCTGTCTCATGCTGAACACAGTCGACCAATCACAACAGACTTGGTCATCGGACCAATGAGCGCAGACTAGCCTCACGCTAAGGAGGGGATTGGGAACAAATGAATCGCTGAATGAATCATATAGGAGTTGTTGGGATAATTAGGTAAAAAGAAATGCATATTTTAAGACAATTAAAGTGTTTTTTGACCTTGCATGCATATCAGACTGCTGTTGGAGACCCTCAAAACCAAAACATGACCTTTTATAATGAAAAAAAGGGGCTCTTTAAAACCCAAAAAGTCCAAAATCTCAAACTGTCAGGCGCATAAAAACAGTGTTTTTGGCTGCAGTGTCTCTCCATAATCCAAAGCTGAGAGTCTACAGGGAGGCGCTGAGGTCAGCAGACTCACCTCGAAGCAGAAATCCTGTCCCAGGATGCTGCTGTGCACGGGTTTGATGAGCACTTCCTCCTCCATACTGAGATCTAGAGCTTCAACTGCACTGCTGGGGCTGAGCAACGACTCGTGAGACCGTGATTCCTTCAGCCTCGGCATCAGATGGGATCTACTGGAGAGAGGAACACATGCATCAGACACAGATACACATTTGTCCGGCTGGGCTGGGAGATATGCACAAAAACATCATCACTATAAAGCATTTTTTATATCAGTTAATCTTAATAATATAACTGGTAAATCTCTATTTCATTCCAGTTTTCATTCAAAGTTCACTGCTAAATTAAATCTGATATGTAAAATCAAATTAAAGTTTTGACATATATAAGAGAACATCGTTTAATTGTGTCCAGTTTTAATGCTTTACATGACATTATAAAGATAGCCTTTATTTAATCATACTGTACAAATGACTCGTTTGCCAACAAGGTGATTTGTGATGTTACAGTGGTACACAGACTCCACCTCCAGAGTATGAGCTCCGCCCACAGAAGATTAGTTTCTCAGTGATGTAAGCATTGTGCTGCTGCAACTGAACTGATTATAATCACTGCTGCTGATGCTGTGGATGTCACATACAGATGTGTGTTTACTATCTGATGCACTCACATGTCCAGTTCGGTCACTCACTCACTTAGGCCACATGAATGAAACATGAAGCAGTTTGCTAAGCCACCCTCTAGACTGTATAGCTTTGTTCATGTGTACAGAGTTTTCAGTGGCTTATTGCATAGTTGATTCTATAAACTAAACGTGTTATATTAAAGATGCAAGTCAAGTTAGAAAAGATAATACTCTATCTTCTCCTTCTCCCTTGCATTTTATTATACTTCAACGTATAGGCTAAATATGTCAAATAACATAAAAATACCAATCGTTAAAACACAATACCCCTTTTTTTCTAAATGTTTAAAGTGAAAGTAAACAGCAACGTGACCCGTGACCCCTCAATGATTTACCTCTGGAACGGCAAGAGCACATCCGCTAAATATTTAAATACTATTTCTGTAACCACCTAATGGTCATAATGAAGTTTAAATAAGCTTAAGTTGCATGCTATTTTTAGAATTTTTCACAATTATGGCAAGACACAGCAAAAAAAAAATAAATAAAAAAAAACAGTTTAAATATGCAAATGAGGCATAATTTAATTAAATATGTACTAATTTGCATACACTTCTAGCACAAAAGTCTGAATACTGGATGAAGTTCAACTTTCTTGTTAAATTCGGTTTTACTTCATTCATTCATTTGCTTAGTCACAGCGAAATGAACCGCCAACTTATCCAGCAAGTTTTTACGCAGCGGATGCCCTTCCAGCCGCAACCCACCTCTGGGAAACATCCACACACACATTCACACACTATGGACAATTTAGTCCACCCAATTCACCTGTACCACATGTCTTTTGACTGTGGGGGAAACCGGAGCACCCGGAGGAAACCCACACGAAGGCAGAGAACATGCAAACTCCACACAGAAACGCCAACTGAGCCGACCCAGCGACCTTCTTGCTGTAATGCGACATCACTACCTACTGGGCCACTGCCTCGCCTCAGTTTTACTTCATGTGCACAGAATTTTTAGTGGCTGATTGCACAGTTAATTCTGTGAGCTCCATGTGTGTTTTATTAGTTTAAAGATGCGTCAAGACAAGGTAAGAAAACTCAACCCTGTCCTTTTGTCTTTTGCATGTTACTGCGTTAACATAAAAAAAAAATGGCAAGTAACTTCCAAGTACACATCTTTAAAGATACATTACTCCTCTTTACAACAGTCAATTATGTCTATGGGTTAGCAGTGGCCCAATAGTTAGAAAGTTGGACTTGTGATTGAAAAGGCACAGATTTGAGTCTCGGTGTCCTGACACTTTACCCTACCCATATGATTAGGCTACCAACACTGTATTTGAATGGTTCTGAAGTTGGGGAAGGGATTAGGTAGGTTAGGGCGATATTACAGCTTCACATCACACTACTCCACATTCACATTTACACTGGTAGCAAAAACTGATGGATAGCATATTGCATCTTTAAAATGTGCTACCTACTTTTTGAATAGGAGGTAAGAAAATCTGACAAGGTAGGACAAATCGACAGAACACTAGGGATTGTAGGTGTTGGGGGTGAATAACCAGTGATCTCACTACCCTCAATACCAGGGCTGAGGTGAGTCCCTTGAGCAAGGCACCGATCCCCCAAGTGCTCCTGGGTAACGCGCATGTCTTTCATATGTCTTTAACGCCGCACTTATGTTTACACAGTGTGTGAATGCTCACTAATGTGTGTATGTCTGTGTGCACTTGGATGGGTTTAAATGCAGAGCACAAATTTCAGAGTATGGGTTACAACACAACATCACGACTTTAACTTTATATTTAAAGAAAGAACGAAAAAGATTTTGAATGATAGCAGCCTAAACCTGCCTTTGTTAATACATTTAATTGACAACAAACAACCAAATCACTGTTGGACCAGTCTAAAGAATGTTAAGCACTGTTTTGATCAGTTGTTCTGCTAGATTTTGTAACGATCACCAGCGATCTAACCCTCATAGATCGCTGGAGAACATTCACATTCACACGGACTACTATCCTGTCTTCATATGAACTACTAGTCCTGTCATGCACCACACACGCACACCTGCTCCAAGTCTCCATTTATTACACTCATACAGCTGAAGCTGCTCATGTACTAATGACACTACACATATTTATGGCTTACTTCGACACTCTTATTGCTGACTATTGTTAGGTTAACACCGTGTAACATTACAAAGCATTCCCTGGTATAGTTTCTACGTGTTACAACCCTTGCCTTGTTTTATCGTTTTTCCTGTCTGCCGCCTGTATCGACCATCTGCATGTTACCTGATGCCTTTGGATTTTTTTGTTCACGTTTGCGCCTGTGTTTGATCATTGCCTGTCTGACCATTATTCTTAAACCTGCAAAAGAACTCTCACTCCTTTGTAACTCGTCTCCCTTGTAGTTAAAGGTTTATTTGAGTTATCAGTTGTAACTTTCTTATTTGTTAATAACTGACTGCTTACTTCTCTTTAATAATGTTTGAACTTCAAACTAAGTAAGGGCTAGTTTCTTCTCTAAAACTGACATTTTAATAAGAAATTGTGAAATTTATTACAATTCCACATGGATCAAAAGAATAAAAACAACAAATACAAAAGTATTTTACTTTATATTTAGCTGAGGCAGTTAAAATTTTGACAGGGAGCAGTGAAAAATTACACAGTTCTAAATAAATGAATCTTCCAGTGCCGGCTTGATGTAAACCTGAGGTAGATTAGAAGGGCGTCAGTTTGGGAAATAATGAGGCCAGGAGGATTTTTCAGCAAGTTGTAATGAGCTGTCAAAAAGCAGTGTCACTTAATTGGAAGTGAGGTGAGTCTCTCTCACAAAAGAAGTGGAAAACAAAGTTTGCCTCCAGGAGGTTGACCTTCACTCGGATGGCACTGTTTGAATGAAGCTGCCGAAGGCTCTGGGATGACTAGCACTGTCACAATAATGAAAGAGGAAGTAACACATTGAAAGGTGAAAAGGAAGTGTTTTAAGGAAGTGTGACTCGTCTTATGTGTTCCTTTAGGAAAGAGAATGTTGTTAATTTCTGTTTATAGACCATAATGTGATTAGGAACGAGCAAATAGAGCAAATTAATTGTGCTTACAGGGTTAATTGTTGGGAGTATGGGGGACGGGGCATAATAATGTTTAACACGTCTGTTTTGGAGTTTCAGTTATCTCAACATTGTCTAAAAATGTGCTCTGATTTCCCAAGATGCCAAAGTGAGCCATTTAATGTTTCACACATGAACTTCTCTTTAACTTATCATTTTTCATAGCTATATGCTTTATACTTTCATTTTCATTACTTTTTAAAGGTTAAAGCTAAGTGTTTGATATCACTTTTATATGACTTTTATATAACTTACACTGGCTGATATTATTATTAGTAGTAGTAGTCATGATAGTATTTATTACTTTTATTATTAATATTATTGCTGTTGTTGTTGTTAGTGGTAGTAGTACTCATAGTGTTTATTCCATTTTATTATTATTTTTCATTCATTTTCTTTTCAGGTTAGTCCCTTTATTAATCTGAGGTCGCCACAGCGGAATGACCCACCAATTTATCCAGCATATGTTTTACGCAGAGGATAACATCCATACACTCATACACTACGGACAATTTAGCCTTCCCAATTCAACTGTACCGCATGTCTTTAGACTGATGAGGAAACCAGAGCACCCAGAGGAAACCCATGCGAACACAGGGAGAACATGCAAACTCCACACAGAAACGCCATCTGACCCGGCCGAGGATGGAATTTAATAGGGATATTTTAGTTCTGGTATTTTTGTTCAGGGGACCGAGTATAACTTTTTTTTTTTGCACAATGTAAAATAGAATTATGATAAGAATTAAGGGTGAAATGTAAAAAACAAACACACCTTTGTGCGAAAATGTGTGCTCTTTGCCAACCAAATAAAACGAAAAATGAAAAATGTCAATAAGGATGCATAAGGGTTACCAGTACAGAGTAATAAAAAGAGAACATATTACATATACAATAATGGTATTGAAATAACAGTAGTGCTCATTCAATTCAATTCACCTTTATTTGTATAGCGCTTTTACAATGTAGATTGTGTCAAAGCAGCTTCACATATCGAGAGAAAGAGATAATATATATATATATATATATATATATATATATATATATATATATATATATATATATATATACACACACACACACACACACACACATATATATATATATATATATATATATATATACATACACACACACACACACACATACACATATATATATGTATGTATATATATTATATAAAATATATTATATATTATAATATATATATATATATATATATATATATATATATATATATATATATATATATATATATATAAACAATATATAAATAAAGAGTACAAATATATAAATAAAAGGTTTGACAGCAATAAAATATAAAACATTAAAATACAATGTGCAATTTGTAAGCACAGAACCTACATAGGCTCATTCTGAAAACGTAGCCCTATATACATTTCTGTAGATTGCGAATTATGT